CTGATAACGTCTCTAGCCACTGTGTTGCACCACCTCTCGGACCCCAGCCAGGGAGTAGTGAAGGACCAACACAAGCCAGCCCTTTGCAGCTTTCTTTCATACCACGTCACCATTTCATACACTGACCACTTCTCCGCTTTTTCCAACCAGTCCCAGCGTCGGCAAATAATGCACGACGTGGAATTCTCTGGGACGACATTTGTAGAACATGTCCAATCCACAGAAGTCGATGTTTCAAGATGGTGACACCAATTGGATTATTGTCTCTGCGCCCGAACACACGATGGCGAACCTCTGCATTACTAATATGGTGTTGCCACTGGATGTTAGCAATCCTTCGGAGACAACGATGATCAAACACAGAGAGTCGTCTAACATCCTCAACTCGGAGAGGCCAGGTTTCACAAGCATAGAGCAGAACTACTCTCACCGACGTTTTGTAGATCCGACCTTTTACAGCCAGACTGACATCACGAAGGCGCTAAAAATTTGAAGGCAGCCAGTTTGAATGATGCACGTGATTTCGGAAAAACTGCTTCAGTATTCGTATTTGTTGGTAGCATACAATTTTCAACCAGGCAGTGACTCGAGAACGTTTAGATAGAACCAAGTTTCCACTATAAGCGAGCTGCTGTATAGGTCGAAAAGTAAGGATACACAAAGTGGGAATAAAAGGGAGTGAATAAGTGACGTGGTAAATAATAATAATAATAATAATAATAATAATAATAATAATAATAATAATAATAATAATAATAATAATAATAATAATGTGAATTGTTGATTCTTAATCGAAGCGTGAATAGAATTTTCAGTAAATATTGTCATTTTCAGTTTATTTGTGTGTGGGCTGTGATACTGCTCGGGTGCCCAGACCGAACCAGGTGGTTTTCTTGGGGGGCCACTCCCGAGCCTTTGACCCAAAAGTCTGACCGATAAGGCAGTGGAGCATCGTGAGGAGATGTAGTCCCATGGTAGCCGGTGACCAACACTTGGTCCATACACCATTTGTTACCCCAGGATACTGGAGCCCATATGCACCATTGGTTTGGAATCCGGTTAAAGCGCTGAACAGTCGCCTTTCGTTCACTCATTTTCGTAAACAACACCCCCGCCACGAGAAGGCAGTGAGTAGGACTTCCCTGGCAGAGGCCGTATAGGCGTTTTCGTGTGAGAGCATTTCGAGAGGGAGTGTGGGACCACCCCACTCTCGGCCATATCAGGGCATTTGGGGGGGGTAAAACTACGTGAAAGAAAACTGAATAATAGGTCCGTAACAAATTAACAGTAATTTATGGAAAGTACAACATGAAAGATTAGTTTATGCACTCAGCAAAGGCTGACTAACGGGAGAATATGAGAAAACAATAATCAAAGTGCCCAATAATTATACAATAAGAATATAAACTAACCCTTCGTACGACAATCCCAAAAGTTACAACTTTTGCTATAGCCGCTCAATTGTAACAGCTGCTTCAAAACTGACCTGAAACTCAATTACGTAATATGAATCTAGCTCTAACAATGAACCAACTCTATCACCGATTCCCGGAAAATTTACTCAGGATAATGTTAGTACGTATATCCTGGTTTGTGGACATTCAAGTGTACTCATAAATAATATTCCTACTAGATTTCTGTTATGAAGTTCTCATTCTCATACATTTGTTACTTGGAATCTTAAAACAAAAACTCGCACAATAGCCATATTATTCAGTCCCCAGCACACAGTAGATAACAGTACCAACAGGACATGTTAAGAGACAACTGAATAAAATATCACTCTTACAATGTTATTATAAGTAGCATTCGTCAAAGAATGATCTCAGTTTGGATACCATGAGGCACCAGGGGTGTTCTAACCTCGTATGAAACTCACCAGCAGTGTATATATACACACCTCCCCAGGAGTCCAATTCAAGACCTGAAAGTTTCCCAGAGAGCCTTTAATTACAAGAGCACTAGGTTGGTATCCAATGGCACACACTTCCAATTCTAATCAATTAGTGATATTATCAGACGGCCATTCACTGGTGACTTTTTCGCCCCCGCCACTTCTGAAATCCACTGATCTTGACTAGTGAATCGAAAATAAGGCTCAGCATAAAACCTTATACGACTACTTCCAGATATCATCAAGACTGATACCTTTAAGATAACGTAATCACATTCATCGTCGTACTGAAATATGGACGTTTCCGTTGAACAAAAAGATCGGATCGAGTAGTTATTCGGTTTTATGTTGGAGTTTAGTAGTAACACACTCAAGGAAACAATCCAGATCTTTAACTTTTTTCCAAAGGTAGTAAGATAGATATATTCTCGGAAGCTTTTTGAGTTGTCACTGATAATTATGTATAGATTCATACCACGATATCCTCATTGTAATTCGTGCCGCCTGTTTTTCCGGTGACCTACTTGCTAATATTTTCTTATTTAGCGTAATACGAAATCCTTTATGCAAACTTGGAGCAAAGCCTCTTTACTTTGTATTTGTAGGATTGATTGCTTTCAAAACGCAAGAACCACCATTACTTGAGACAAGTTATCCAAAATCACATACTATCTACTAAATGATTCATTTACGTCAACGAGGTAAATATTAGCTACTTAGATCACTTCAAGCGATGTCTGGACGTTAAGTGACTGAACCGTCCGGATACTGATCCAACAAATGCTTGTTTACACCTAATTGTATTTATCTTTACATTTCACTGCTTTTCGGTATAAATCAGTGGATTGGTGTATGAGGTAAGTATATCGGCCTTGCGTTTATATAGCAATCTCTGAATCAACTAAGCGATTTGACGGCACCACTTGTATTTGCTTCCAAATTTTAAAGACGTTTCGAGAACATGGGTAGTCTGACCATGTCCTCACGATCAACTTGCCACACATACTTAAACAATTTTAAGACCTATGTTTAGCGGAGATTGCTACAATGTGTAGGGGGGGGGGTTAAGCCCAAAACAACCTCAGGTGAGATACCGTTAGAATTCAAGAAACACTAGATAGCCGCCTCGTCCTAGTATAGGACTCCTCGAGTGTCGCCTATGACCCTCTCTCCAGTGACTGTATTCAAGATCTACAGGCCTCGAAGCGAACGCCTAAACATTCGATTAATGAAACAAAATCTCAGTTCTAATCATTCGGTGACATAAACCGACGATCATCTAATGTCATTGATAATGACTGTATCACTCCAACATGTCTGGATTCTACTGGCTATTTCTTGCTAAAACTTGAAGCACTCATCTAGAAGTTACAAGAGTTGTTGGGTTACACTCTTGATTTTAATTTCTGTGGTCTAGTTTATCCAGCATTAACTACATCTGTAGAAGACGCGTCATGTCTTACATTTCTGAATGTAATGAAGTCCAAGTCAATTACTATGTACTTCGCACCACATTCCTGTTATCTTCACTAACGACTTTTATGCATGTCATAGTTTTTGTACGCGACCAAACAGTCTTATGTACTAAAAAATCCAAATATACTGGTCTGGACACCCATATGTGACTGTGTTTTTACCTGGTGTTAATCACTAGATATTGTCGAGTCATATCATGAAGCCGAAAAAAAACGTCTGCCACTGGATGCCAATTAAGTGAATTAGTGTTCAAAGCCTCTCAAAGAGACTTGTAGGTTCTAAATTTGATGCCTGAGTGGGTTATGGATCTCTACTTTTAAGGATGAAACCAGAACAAAACAGTTAATCAGTTCTTTATGGTCTTTAATGGTAGCACAACCTAAGTCAATCTGTGACGAATACCACTCAAAAATCAAACAAATCCCCAATAACCCCCTTTAAATAATGGTTAGTGTATAATCCGGATATTTCATTTCCAAATAATTGTCGATTTCCCATAAATAAAACATGAAATTTCTTAGATTTATCTGCAGAAACTTTAATGTAAATAAAAAAACGCATTTTGTTTTGTTTTACACGTAGAAACGTCATAATAAGAACCAACTGATGGTTCGGGGTGTACCATAAACTGACACTACAGTAATTAAACACGAACACAAGTTGGGAAGTAAAGCACCGATGCAACAGAAGGGAAAAACTTAAACAGCTTAGGCAGTACTATGCCCATGCAATCGACGCCTTATAATCATGACTATAACTATACCGAAATATCTACAACCAATTTAAACATAAATGTGGGATCGTCTGGCATGGTTAATGATTAAAAGTAATTTTGAGGCTTTGCAACCTACGTATTTGGATCCAAGCTTATTTTAACGAGGTACAAGGGAGCTGCTTAACTCGACCTGGGAGATCTGCAAATAGTCAACTTAGTAATTAAAAACAAGGTATTTGGTTATGCGATGAAAAAAAATACGAAGACTAATATTTTTACCTGCAAAAACAATCTATATAAATAAGACTATTAAATGCTTTACTCATGCCTACTTATAGTTCAAACTAGAATGATAAACAGAGCATAAAGAATGTCTCGTCCTTCTTCATGAATGCATCAAAGTTAGTCAGTTATGACGGACACAGAGCTTGGTACAAATCCTAGTGGGTCCACGTCTCATGACTAAATCAGCACGGCAAAGTGAAAATTACGAAATAGTGAGAGACCCGAAATAATGGTATTATCACTGATAATGACAAGAGCTAAATACTAAAGAATATAGTTTTAAAAGAGATGATGCTGATAGACAAAAAAGTACGAGAAGACATGAATGCGAAGAGTAAATACATCTACGCAATCAAAATTTATTCTCAGTCAGTCAGTAACAACGCAGAACTTCGTACGTACGTACATCAGTTCGAGTTGCCATACTGCATTAGCACACAGATACAATTGTCGATTCAAATCCCGTAGTGGTAAAGGTAGTAAGTGTATAAGCAGTAATTCTAAGCCATGTTACAAATTATCTTTGACAAGTGATCGCAGTTGTCTTGAGAACTTAAATACGATAGTCTGAATTTACTATCACGGCTATTTGGCAACCGATGTTTTCATAGTCTAATGTTATATGCTACATGGACCACGGTGTCATAAAACAACGTATCAGGGGGTACGACTCAAACTTCGTCAATTAACGATGTCCGTTAAGTTAAAAAAATAAAAAACAGTTTTTAGGTCAGTCTTCAGTCTTCAGTAATAAGGATAGGAGGTCTGTCGAAAGAATCTCTAGTGAGTTCAATTTTCATGGTAAAACCTTAATGCTGAAAGATAAGGGTCCCCCATTCTTTTTGAAGGCCGACAAGACTACACTGGAAACTCGGTCGGACAGCCAGTTAACCCATTAGGTTTTCGACATTTGCATTTCAGAACTTTGGATAATCGAACTGTAGCCAAGATTATATTGTCGATATGGTTGAAAAGCAGACTACGACAATGGGCTGAGAATTTCTTGTTCTATGCAACAGCTTAGAAGCTTTACGATGAATTGTTTTTTGTAAGCTGAATGCGAAAACCTTGTGTACATATGTATCAATCAGACTACTTTGAGAGCTAAATTGATTTATTGTTGAACAAACAAGATTTTACTAGTCACAGATTGAGGACGTAGATCTACACTAATAAAACAAACTGTCATTCATAAATATCATTGGAAATGAACATGGAAAGTCAATTGTCATCAGAAGTCGGGGTCTTTAAATGCGCTGTACGGCAGAGTGGCCATTGGCTCCATTTTCTTTACCTCTCTAACTTTTTTCATCATAACAGCTCTTTTTTTCTATGAAGAGGAATTACTATAACTAAAAAAACAACTTACAGCCTTATCATGGTTCTGACATTCAAGCAAATCTTCCCAGTATATTTTGCAATGCTTGTCTGTATTTTGAAGGCCAACTCTTGCAACACATCTTTAAGATCTGAAAAAAGTGTTCGAGATATAATTACCGGAAGAAGTCACGCTCCATGATTTGGCAAAATCTTGAACTAAAAACATTCTGCATCGTAAACCATGATGTGCCCATCTGTAAGGCGGGGAAATCTAGGAAAGGGCGGTGGAGAAAGTTTCCTCCAGATGCGTAAGTTAAAGGGAACCCATGTCCTAGAACAACATTTTCACGAAGATAACAATTAGTACTAACCAGCCTCGTAAGGTTTCTCAGTTCCAAAAATTTTTTCCACAAAGTTATAAAATGGCTGAGAAATGTCTGGTGTAAAGGGTATATCTCTGTTCCTTTTCTCTCTGGCTTCATTATTCAGGCGATCAAGTCTTTCCTGATCTGTTATGACAAACGCCTCATCCGCCATCAACAAGTACGAACGATGACCGGCCTTCAAACCTGATAGCGAATTAACCTCCACAACCTTGAAGGGCTTGACTAACGACGGGGATCCTGTATTTGGAGTGCTTGAGGTCTGTAGTAGTATCTGGCCCTAACCACATAATCCTCAAAGCTGGGGAAATAGATATTCAGCATTTAACGTGGAGAAAAGTCCAACGATGCTGAAGGCGGGAAGAATGAGTCCAATTAATTTGAATTGGTCAGATGGCAGGGCTCGGCCTTGCAGACGTGGTCACTCTTGAGTGTTGTCATATATCTTTTATTCATATTAAATATATTGTTCCATCTCTAGCCTAAGTTTTTTCTCCATCAAATATTGGTGATGGCAAATATACGATTTTAGGATTAGGTCTATTACTAGAGCAGTACTAATATCGGAGTAGACCATAATTCAACAGGTCTGATGTGTGTGTATGCTAAAATGGTTCGCAGGTGTTGTTATGTTTGTGTAGTCGGTTAATGTTTGAAGACTTCAAAGGTGGTCACTAACAACTTAAGCTAAGTATTCTGTCTATTTAAGTGTAAATAGCCTGGTTACTTCTGTGTTGTATTTTCTAGAAACTGTAGTGACTCACATTTATCACGAGAACACGACTGGCTTAATAAAAACAATTATTATTATAACCAGTGTTTGTTTTAATGTGCTTTTGTTTGACTGTGCCAATGACAGCTATATTGTGCTTCCATTATTTTTCTTACACTTTGATTGTGACTTCGAGCGAATTCGGTTACGCTCTGTAACCAGGCTTGTATCCTGGCAGGATCTCGGTATCCTTTCGATACCACGAGATCGCCAGCAAATATATCTCGACTTGGTCCATTAACTGCCTTCTGATATTTGGCTTCTCGGGGATTTTATGGACTTATTTGGTTACGTTCAACCTTCGCCTTCTGATTTACTTGGCACGTGTCTCTTGGTAGCGGTGTTCATAGTTAATCTCAACTCGACGTCACGCTACAAAACCATAGACTGAACGGTTTTGTTTTAAGGTCTATAATAACAAGTTACGTAAAGAATGTGAGTGTGAGAAGCCCCACACGCTTCTAGAGACTGACAATTTATGCAACACAGCGTTTTATTCGAGGTTAGAGTAAACGTCTGACAATCAGTGAGTTTGGGACATTTGTCGTCTTGCATGAATGTTAATAGCACATTCTGAATTACAGTTAACGAATTTGTTCCCCAATAATCAATGGCCTGTTTTTGTTCTCTACTAACGCAGTCCCATATGTTGTGCTTCCTGTATCTCTGCTTTGTGGTCTGAGTTATCTGCTAATAAAACTGTAGTCGCTGATTCTCTTTGCCTTCTGATTTCAAACACCGTTGAGGATTATATGATAACGGGCACGAGGGTGACTGGTCAAATAAGTACAACCACTACAGAACTGGTAACCCCGACGTGCGGCCAGGAAACGGCTTTCGACGATATAGTCAAATTCCGAAAATCCAACGTACATCGTCTCGATCCGGATTATCACATGGACTATAATCGTAACTAAGGATCTATTATATTACTATTTTAATTACACGTACATTACTTCACAAACATTACTGGACGTGACGATAATAATTATAGTAAGCAATGATTATTCACAAACAATTGATATACTGGTGCAATTTAGTAAGTCTGTTCTATGTTATAAATTGTGCCATTTGTTATTATCATTGTTTTTGTCCGTCCATTTTTCTTTGTGACTGTTACATTATATTCGTGTGCTAATTAATTTTTTTTATAAACATGTCTTCTGAAAACACTGTGTCGAGTTTACAGCAAACCCCGTCCGTGAGGTCTATTAATCTTTCTACCCCCTCTTTTAAAGTTACCGACCCAAAGCTTTAGTTTATTAGACTTGAAAGTTATTTTCTGGCTAACTGCATTTACTCACAAAGAGATAAATCCTTCCAGATGAAGTAGCAGATAGCGTACGAGAGGCGTCAGCTAAACCGGACACTGAAGCGACATACGACATGCTAAAGCAAGCAGTAATTACAACTCTCTCTCTTTAAATGATCAACAAACTGTTTAACAGCTTCTTAACCGAGTACAAATTGGGGACAGAACTCCGTCACAGCTAAAAACGTGTATGAAAAGTCTGCTGTGCGATAGGTAAACAGACAATAACCTGTTTTATCAACTGTGGCTTCTCCTACTTCCGCCTAATGTACAGCAGATCCTAGCCGTCGGAGATACGGACGCCGATATAGACAACACAGTAAAAATAGCCTATAAAATATACGAAAGAACCAAGCAAACAAGCTCTGCGTTACACAGCGTGACGACAGATGATAGAATTAGTGCTTTACGGAAAGAGGTAAATGTTTTGTGCCGCAAGCTCACGGCATTAACACAGAGCGAAAGGTCACGACGATTATCACGAGATCTCTCGCGCGACAGAAACCGACCAGTTTCTAGACGGCGCACTGCTCCCTTGATATGGTGGTATCATCAAAAGTACGGTTACAGCGCTAGGAAGTGTCTGCAACTTTGTAGATTTAGCATAACAGGTAAGCGATACCCATGATTAACCATGGCGACGGCATCAAAGAACATGATGCCTGCAAATAGTCGCCTGTTTTATATACAAGACGGAATGACAGGCGCGCAATTCTTAGTTGATACTGGAGCGGAAATCAGCGTAATATCTCCAGTAGGCGAGGAGAGAAGAAACGTTAATGATTCACTAGAACTAAGAGCAGTGAACAAATCGGATGTCAAGACATAAGGCAAACGAAAGTTGTTCTTAGACTTCGGACGAGGCGCTTCGTACCGCTGGGACTTTGTCATAGCAGATCTATCAGTGCCCATAATAGGCATCGCTAGTAGACTCGCGTTGTCACGTATTTATAAATGGTAGTCACACCACTTCGATAAGAGGAACACTCACAGAAGCCGTTTCCATGAATCTAGTGGAACATGAAAAGCGCGATGATCCATATAAATTGTAGTTAAAGGAATTTCCCGAACTCGTAAAAGTAACATACAGTAAGATGGATCTCAAACATTCCATTCAGCACCATATCATAATGAATGGGCCAACAATTAATGCAAGACCAAGAAGATTAGACCCAAAAAATGTTGAGTCGGCTTTCGGAGAACTTCAACGGAGCCTCCAGAGGCCCAAAAGGAACGGAAGAGTCCTAGCCAATCAGGGCATGGTGGAGCATTGGTCAGTAATATAATGTATCGTTAACGGATTGGCCGAAATTTGATGTCGATTTAACAAACGTTAACATCGTTAAATACCCATGTTTTCTGTACAAAAACGAACCTTGGAGTAAAGTATTTCTGTCATACTTTGCGTCTTCTCTCTGGCGTTCAGGTCGCTGTGTATTTCTAGCTTGCGCGTTACCAGAATAGCTTAGGAAACGGATATAGCGTTCAGTTCTCAAGACTTATGAAAAGGACTAGTACTTGCAAAGCAGGAATTCGACAAGTTGATGAGGCTGGGTATTGTAAGGTCTTCTAACAGCTCGTGGGCATCCCCAATACATATGGCCCCGAAAAAGAATGAAGACGTTAGGCCATGGGGAGACCAACGAGCACTTAACAATCGAACGGTAGCCGTTAGATATCCTATACCATACACCTACGATTTTACCTACAGTATAGAAGGCGCTACTGTCTTCTCGAAGATCGACGTAGTTAGAGCATACTATCACATTCCTGTTGCTCCACAAGACATACCAAAGACAGAGGTAATGACGTCATTTGGGCTGTATGAACTTCTACACATGCCTTTCGGGCTGAATAACGCAGCGCAAACCTTTCAACGGTTTATTGACCAGGTCATCAGAGGTTTAAATGGAGCATACGCATATATCGATGATTTAATAGTAGCCAGAGCCACTATAGATGAGCATATACAACAGCTACAACAATCATTCACGCGACTACGAAAACACGGCAATACCATGAACGTTGAGAAGTGCGAATTCGGAAAGAAATCCTTACAGTTCATAGGTCACATTGTAACTTCTCCAAGCATTACATCAATCGCAGTAGAAGTCGATGCCATCAGAGAGTATCCACTACCCTGCTCATGGAAGAAGTTACGACGATTTTTCGGGTTAGTAAATTATTACAGACGATTTATCCCGAATTGTGCGGCAATACTTCAACCATTAACGGACGCGTTACGGGGACATGCCTGGACATTCCAATTATCATCAGAGGCGATACAAGCATTCGAGCACGCCAAAAAAGCACTAAACAAAGAAACGACACTAGCTAGACGAAAGAGCGGAACACCATTAGCTATCATGACTGATGCATCGAATGTGGCGGTAGGAGCCGTATTACAACAGTTAGTAAACGGCACATGGGAACCGCTTTCATTTTTTTCGAAGAGACTCAGTCCTAGACAAACAAGATATAGTACTTTCAGAGGAGAACTGCTAGCAATTTACTTAGCAGTAAAACACGAAAGCATTAAACGCAAAGTAAGATAATTGTTCCCCAAGGGAGATCAGACAATTGGAATTCATTCCTAGGTCACGTCCGATATATGATACATTAAAGGCCGAGAACAACGATAAACGCGCTTTTTAAAAGTGGAATCGATTATAACGGTCTGGCAAAGTTGCAAGAGAGAGACACCGAATTAAATTACCTAAGACTCGATGACACGACATCATTAGAATTCGAAGATGTTCAGTTCGGTAGCACAAAAGTAATATGTGATATATCGACAGGCCGACAGCGACCATTCATCCCGAAATCATTACGACATAAAATATTTGAAAGTATGCACAAAATATCGTATGGTGAACAATTCGTTTCCCGAATTCCGGGTATTTGTAAACAGAGTGGTCGTCGGAACACAAACTCTACTTAGTTTTCACAGTCAAGCCGTTTCAATGTCCCGATTGCAAGTGACAGTTCGTCTTTTCATTACGTCCCTTTTTCTAACGAATCGCCGACTGTCCAAATCTACTACTGGCTACTCTGGAACAAGATGTTATAAACTTAGTGAGCTCGGCGAACGTCGGCTCTCTATCGCCTTTAGTCAATCTATCCACCAGTTCCAACCACTGCGCTTGCATACGTTGAGGCAAGAGACTCACTATTCTTCCCAAAGTAACTAAAGAATTTAGATCAGAAGTATAATTCATCTGTTCCAAGACCGTAGCACAATTTTTCATTTTAATA